TATTTATTTTTTATCAAGAATGAGGACTAGGGGCACGTCGGAGCGGGATTCGCAGGACTGTTTTTATCAATAAAATTTAAATAATATTTTATAACTGAAATTTTTTTTTTTGATATAATCATATTTGTGGTCATATGTAAACTTCTTTATCTGCCAGGATTTTTTCAATTGAAAAATAGAAATAATTTAATTTTCTAAAAAAAAATAATTACATTTTATATATGTTAAATAAATCATTTAATCATTACCGTTTGAGGTGGCTCGCAATATTTTTTATTTATTCCCAATATTAGAAGAGTTACTATGAATACGATCCGCTGTGTCCTGGTCTTTCATATAGCATTGACTAACAGTACTTTAAACAAAAAAATTAAATAAAAAACATGCAACAATCATAAAATTTATTTATTTAAATGCTAGTTAAAAAAAATTGATTTTCAAACAGCAAAGAAAGCGAATCAATTTATCTATCGATATTCAGAATCGTTTTAAAAATATCAAGATTTTGTGATGCTAGGTTTATGGATTCTGTTCACTCATATTGGTAATCAATGGAAAACTTAACTTTTCAGTTATTCGGGGGTCTACAACGGAAAGGTTTAATAAAAATAAACAGTGGGTGGGCAGGTTAGTTTATAATATTTTACGGGTGAGATACGCAGGGCGAACTTATATTTATTAAATACAAAAATTTGTATATTTTTATTTTATAAATTTATGTTAAAAATATATAAACCAAATAAAAAAGAACTAAACTAATCTATCAAATTATTTATAAACATCTGGTAGGTGGGTGCAACATTTCAATTTGATCTATAAACGGATGGACAATAATCTTCTTTCAGAACTATATGCTGGCGGTCTAATATTTTTCCCAAAACTATGGGCTAAAACCCACCCATTACAGCCCCTTAATGCTTAAGTAATTAAGACTTAGATTTATTGAAATTTGGTCTCAGGAAAATTTACAGGAAAAGGCAGAGTTGGGCAGTATGGCGAATATTTGTTTTTAAATGCTAATAAAAAGTGTTTGTAATTACGATTTCAAATAAATAGAAATACTAAAAACTTTTAATTGTATTTTATTATATTATAAATTGTATTATAAATGTATAATTATAAATTTATATTTTTAAGTGTTAATTTGTGATCCGAGGTAAGAAAAGAATCAAGATCATACCTGCGTAATCCCATTTTATTAAAATGAGCAACGTTCATGCTGAAAATGAAACTGAAGAAATAAATTTTTTTGATGAAGATAATATAGAACTAGAAGATATAGATTCTGGTTCCACAGAATTAAGATATTCTGATGTTTATATGATATTTTTAGCAGAATACAGTCAAAACTGTCTAATGTGGGCACTTGACAATTCGGGCAAAACCTTAATTTCACCAAAATTTTAAGTTCCAGTCAAATTCCTATTAACTACTATCATAAAATACCTTGATATATTAGGCAACTGCCTACTCTAAAAAGTGGGCAGTTTTAATTTTTTGCCCATTTATAAGACCTCTATAAAATGGACATTTGTTGCATTCATTCATTTATATTATAAGATTTAATCATCTTTTAAAAACTATTCATTTAAATAACAAAATTAATTTATAAAAAACAAAATAGAACGAGTTTTTGTTAATCAAAAAAATCTAGGTTATTAATTTTCTAAATCACTTAAAGAGAATATTCTAGAATTAATATTTCAAAAGAAACTGTTCACAATCATAAATCCAAAAAGACATTATCAAATGCCATGCAAATAAAACATATCATATACCTAATAAACAAAGACAACATTTTATTTCATAAATTAATTATTATTCTTTTTGTATGCAAAATATTGTTATATATATATATATCCAGAGACGTATTTATATTTTTTTAAATATAACCGGGTCGGGCCTGAAATTTTTTTTAAAAAAAAATATCCGGGCAGGGCCTTATATTTTAAAACTAAATATTTGAAATAGCCATTATTAGATAAAAAACCAAAAATAAATATATTATATTTTAAAAAAATCCGGGCCGGGTCTGAAATTTTTTTTAAAAAAAAGCCGGGCGGGACCTTAAAATATAAAACCCAGGCCTGGCCGGCCCGTAAAAAATGTTTGGAAAAATATCCAGGCCGGGCCGAAAATATTTTTTTAAAAAAACCATGCCTTGACGTGCAAATGGTACCTCTGCAGGTCTCTGATATATACAATGACATCACTAGTCTTTTACAATCTCAGGAGGACTCAAAAAAATTTTTAAATTACGACCTTTTAGATTTTTAAAATGACCTTTGTTTTAGATATAGAAAAAATTCTAAATTTTTAAAGGGGCTTCCCCACCTAGTGACGGTACTATATATCACCTAGTGACGGTACTATATATATAAATATAAACAGTATTATTTTGTTTAAGTTTATGTATACATTCATAATTTTATCCACGATTTTGATGAATAAAAAGCTTTTAGAAATGGTTTAATAAAATTTCCCTTTTTGCTCAACTTTATTAAAGATGGTAAAATAAAAAGGTAAAATGTCAGTAAATTGGGCAACTGTCTAAGTTGGGCATAAATCTTAAATAATATTTGTTCTAGTAAAATTGTTCATGAGCTTGCATCAATTGTCGATATACCAGCTAAATTTACTCTAGAACCTCAGATTCGTAAGCTAACTAAAAAACAAATGTTTGAATGTAAAAGTAAATCACTATTCCAAAATTTTTTTAAAGATTTTTGCGGTTATCACAACCCTTGGAAAAGAATGGCAATATAAAATCGATTAAAATTAGATAGTATGAATTAAAGCCTACCAAAAATATTTTTTACTGGGTTTATAAATTGGGGGCTGTTTTATTTTGGTAGGATTGGCTAATATATTTTATTTTATAAGATGCTCTAAAAAAATTATAATTTTAACCTTGACGATTCAAATATTTTCTTACCTGGTTTACTAATCTAGATCTAAAGAATTTGATTTTAAAAAAATCACAATTTACATAAAATTCAATTTTTTTTTCTTATTCTCAATAATATAAGGCAAACATATCTTTTTTAATATTGTGTATAAGCCTGAATAAAGTGGGTTTTAGTAGATTTTATTGGAATTATAATAAAAGCGGCGGAATTATTTTAAAAATATGATACATACAATATCTAAAACTCAAATTAAACTTCACATCGAATTTATATATATTTTTTTAAAGTAGCATGACTTGTCCCCATTTTAGAGAATTTCATTGTTACTAATAACAATGGTGTTGTTTATTTTATAATATATAATAATACGTAACACTCTCCTCCGCTTGATATCATAAATAACAAAAATTATAATACAAATAAAAATCACTGGAGGTCATAATATATTGATAGTTGGCACCTACATTTTTTTTTACTCATAATAAAAAAAAGGGCTGAAATTATGGAAGATGGGTATAATCATTTTTTTTTGACTTTCACCTAATTACAATATTTTAATTATTAAAATTTTTTTATATAAAAATAAAAAAAATATGGCATGTTACATTTTTAATGAAAATGTATTTTACTACAATATATGTTTTATCTCTTCAAAATATAGAAAATCAAAATCAATAAATCTGAAAATTTAGGGTAAACTTATCTTAAAAACAGTTTCTCTAATATTAATAATGTAAAAATTTGATATTATATAATTCACTACTTAAAATATATAACAGATGTCCAATAAATTAAAAATATTAAAAATAATTTAATTATTATTGATGATTTTGTTAAAAAAAAAATTTTTTTAAGGTAAAAGTTTTATTTAACCGGTTAATTTAAAAGGTAATATATACCTCCCTTCTTTCTGATTTTCAATGGAATGATGATTTATAATATCTAGAAATATTTTCTATAAAATTATCATTTTATTAGATGTGATTAAGTTTAATATTTTGACAAACGCTATATTTATATAAAAAAAACTAATCCAATTATTCTTAGGCAAAAAAGACTATATTCCTAAAAAAAGTAAAATTAATTCTTAATAATATTTTATTATAAGAACTAATATCATTACATATAAATTGATAGATCTAAGATCTGCAAGCCCCGAACCTGAGTAAAGTATTATATTTAAAAAATCCGGCCCGGGCTTAAAAATTAAAACAAACCCTGGCCGAGTCGATTTTCTATAAAATTAATTCAATTAATTAGAATATATTGCTCATATTTTCGATTGCCCTTTAAAAACAATTTAGAAAAATTTTTTAAAATGTGGTTAACGTTAGGCCAAAAATGAGAAATATAAAATCCAAGTCAAGTATTTAAAATAGAATTTTTTTATATATCCAGGCCAACTTTAAAAATTTGAGCTTTTGCTAATTGCAGGACTCTGGGATAAATATAGTATATTTATTTCAAATTAAAATATCTTAGGAAAAAAAATTAAATTATATTGTGGCAATCGCGCAAATAATTCTCTGAAAATGAAAAAAATTATGATAAAAAAAATCTCCCAAAATTTTTAGAATAATTTTTTAGATATAATTTTGCAACATTAAATAAAATGTAACTAAAGAATTTTTTTACAGTTTTTTTTGACTTTAATTTCAACGATTTTTAATCTGAAGGAAAAAAATTTGCCCCTTTATCATAGTCGGAGAATTTATGTCGGATAATTGTAAAAATTATGTGAATACCGGTTAAAAAAATGAGACAGGAAAAAAATATGAATATTAGATTAGCCCTATTTGACTATTTAAATCCTTTTTTTAAATTTTATTACAATAATATTTATAGGTATATTGAGGTTAAATTCAACATTAGTGGCATTAATAAATGAGCCAAATTCTTATATTCAGTAGAATCAATTCATTAGGGTTACTAAGAAATTTTATATTAATAATTAAGCAAAATATTCAGGTCTTATAACCCCAGGCTGGCCCAAATAAGATAATAATCTAAGTTGGCATAAAATTTTTTTATGTGATTTCATAAATTATTGTTGATTTAAATTCATTTTAATTATAGATATTCATTAAAAACATGTTAAATAAATCGTTCCTCACCCGTCTATATGCTCTAGTTTTCACATATTTATGTAAATATGTCATAATTGGAATAGATAGTTCTGGAGAAAATTCTAAAAAATACGAATATTCACACCTTAACGAAAATTGTCATATATTAGATGAAAAATTATTACAAAGCATCTTTGACCATATAGAAAGTAACGAAGCTCATTATATCAAAGAGTTATCAGAAGCTGTAAAATTTCCTAGTGTTTCTGCATTCCCCGAAGATTACCCAGAGCTCTTACATGTGGTTGAATGGTCTCAAAAAATGTTTAGAAACATGGGCTTCAGATCCGATATCAAATTTATAAATTATAAAATCAAACAGTATAAGAGAAGAAGGGAGAATCCTCACAAACATACAAACAAATATCGTCATAGACGAGACTTACTGATTGAAACTTTCGGACCTCCATTTCTATTCAACACTTTACCTCAATCGAAATCTTCTCCTTCCAATAACATATCTCTTCTTATATACGGCCATTTGGACGTAGTGCCGGCTCGTAGATCCGATGGCTGGAAATCTGATCCATTTGTATTGACCAGAGTAGGCGATAATCTTTACGGGAGAGGTTCAAGTGATAACAAAGGGCCAATCCTAGCTTGGATAAATGCTATTAGAGCTATGATTGATCTTAAAATTTGTATACCAATGAAAATAAAGTTCTTTCTGGAAACAGCCGAAGAATCTGGATCGTTCGGTTTAAGGAGAATATTTAAGCAAGAGAAACGTTTTTTCAAAAATATAGACTACGCCGTGATATCTGATAATTTTTGCCCTAACGTGAAAAATCCTTGTTTAACTTATGGACTTAGGGGCTTACTCTATTTTTACGTGCAAATTCAGAGCGCAAAAGAAGATTTACATTCAGGCGTATATGGAGGTTCCGTTCATGAATCAACAATTCAGCTAGTGGAAATTTTATCTAAATTGAGCAATGTAACAACCGGCCAAATAACAATTCCAGGAGTTTATGATGATATTGATCCTTTGACTGCCGATGAAATCAATGCATACTCAAATTTCGATTTCAATATGGAAGATTACAAAAAGAATGTAGGATCTTTAGGCTACCTATTGCATTCCTCTAAAATAGATGCGCTTTCACATAAATGGAGGGAGCCATCGTTGAGTATACACGGCATAGAAGGAGCTTTTTCTGGGCCTGGTGCCAAAACTGTTATACCCCACAAGGTTATAGGCAAGTTTTCAATAAGGCTTGTTCCTCATCAAGACCCTCAAAAGGTAAAGAATAATGTTATCGAGTATATAACTAAGTTACATAAACAACATAACACTGGAAATTCTCTTAATATTGTAATTGAAGAGGAGGTTGAATCATGGCTTACAAACTATAAGAATAATAATTTCCAATTGGCATCTGAAGCTATTAAAAGGGTATATGGAAGATATCCGGATTTAACAAGAGATGGCGGTACAGTTCCAGCTGCTGTGTACTTATCTAAATATCTAAAAGATCCAAATAATAGTTTAATACTAATGCCCCTATCATACGCAGCAGATGGAGCTCATTCCGAAAATGAACATATCAATATTAATCGTCATATTATGGGTATAAAAAGTTTAGTTTCCTATATATACGAACTAGCCAAACATCATTCTCTTCTCGATCAATCTAACTAAACGGTACTATTTATTAATCGATTTGTTTTACATAATTTGAATAATTCGGCATACGATATTTATTTATAATTATAATATTTTATGATAATACATATAAACAAAGACAGTATTATTACAAGGTTATAAAAAAATGCGTTATTATTTAAATCTAGATAGTATAACAAAGTTTAATAATAATAAAAAAAAATTTGGAGAAAAATAATACCAAATTGTTATTTCCCTTTACTATGTTTTTTTGAGATTTAAACTGCTGGTTTGCAGTATAAATCCATTTAGTTCCTATAACTATTTTTATCAATATGAAATTTTCTCAATATTGTGGCATGGCAAGAGAAGAGTTAAATGTTTACCCGTATCAATTAGAATTTCGTTAATAGCCATTTTTCCAATATATGAAAGTAAATTAAATGGACTTATTGTTTAATTGGTCTTAAAACTTGATTTGCATATTTTATTAAATTTTAAAAAATATTAGAACAATATTTGCACTTATATATTAGCTCTTCATAAATAATCTCAATCAAACTATCGATGATCCTAATTTTGTAAAATTGTCCGATTCGACCATCCGTTTTAGAAATGAGGATCATGATCAAAATCCTTGTATATACTAAGGATCATTCTACCCTTGAATTTTTCTCCCCCTACTTTTACATAAGGCCATTTCCAAAAGTTTTTTCATAACGGTTTTTGGGGCATGTTTCCAGTAATTTTTTTTATTTCCAAACTAAGGATAATAATTTGCAGAATTAATTTCTTTATATAATATGAAATTTTGTAAAAAACTTAATGAATCCATTATTTCAGACACAATTTAATTGTTAGTGATTACGATTTTTATCGGATCCATTTCGTTTTTTTAAAAATATTATATTACTAGATGATAACCCGTCAAGAATGACGGGAAATCAGAATTATCTTCTATGAATAATAAATTTTGCCTATATTGATGGATGAATCAAATAATTTTCTCTCTTATAATTATCCATAGTTAAGAATTTTTACACGGAAACAATGTTACTTAATAGCATCCCAAATATCAGCATTATCCACCAGAACTCCTGTTAATCAGCATTTCTGTTCACTCCCCACCGCATGAAGGTAGGAGATGGATTTTAGGGGAGCAAAGAAATGGAAAAAAGAATGAATAAAAGGAGGGAGAAATAGAAAAAAAAAGATAAAGATGTGAATTATAAGAAAATATAATAATTGCTTATACTTCAAGACTTGACGATTATCGGGTTCCAACACATATGCATTTGTCGCCATATAAAAAAATATAATATAATAAAATTTATAATATCTAAAATTTTACTTAAAAAGGAGATTTAAATTTTTCAAAATTGAGAGGGATGTAAGATTTTTAAGCATTAGTCGGGTATATCACCTTATATTGCCTTTTATTTGATAATTATTTTGCTTTGTTCGTAGCTTTCCGTAAATAACCTGAAATAAATCGTGTAAATATAAATTATAAAATAGAATCTATTGTTGTTGATGATGAAGATGCTGAATTACAAAAGTTGTTGATTTGATTGTGAATAACAACAATTGATGACTATTTTAAATTTCTTACAAATTATCAATTCAAGATTTCATTACATACGATATTTTGTATGAATGTTTTATCATTTTTTAAAATTTTTCCTTGTAATTCTGATGGCAAAATCATGATTTTCATATTATTTTGAGATTTACATCTAATAAGAGCTACATATAATTGCCCATGGGCAAAGACGGGCTCGGGGAGAAATAAGCCTACATGTTTAAAAGTTTGTCCTTGACTTTTATATGGGCAAAGACGGGCTTGGGGAGAAATATGCTTATATGTGCAAAAGTTGGTCCTTGACTTTTATTTATTGTAATCACAAAAGCGGCAATTATAGGAAACTGGCGTCTTTTAAAGTAAATGGCAACTGAGAGTCACTTGGAGTTAGATCTATCCGTGGGAGAAAAACTCGAGAACCTTTATTAGTGCCTGTCAATACCTCAGCATCGATAAAATTAATATGTAAATGTCGTATGATTAAGCTAGTACCATTACAAAGCCCTTTGTTTGGGCTCAAGTTGCGTAAAAGCATAAGTATTGCACCAACCTTAAGTGTTAGCTTGTGAGGTGGCATACCGGATGGAGTTTGTGAATGAAAAAATTCTATTGGAAAATTCATTAAACCATCCTTATTATCGCTTTCAATGGAATCAGCACTATAATAATGTTTGATAGGGCCTGAAATTATATTAATGATATCGTTGTTGAGGGTAAGTGCAATTTTATTTTTGCTGGTTAATATTATTTTAGTAGAAAGATTATCAATATTAGCAATTTTGATAGTATTACCATACACACATTTTATTAATGAATCATTTTCAAGCAAATAAAATGGGATTTCAACTCTATTTGTAGGAAGATTAGAATTACTGCTTGAAAGACCTTCTAGTAACCAAGCATTGTAATCAACTTGCTCTGATGGAATAAGCATATTATCATTAAAATGTATTATTTTAAAATAACTCCATAAATCTTAACTTTTTATACACGACTCTATAATATCGACTTTGGAGCCTGGCATTACTGGTAAAGCCTGTCTAAAATCACCACCTAATAAAATACCTTTTCCTCCAAATGGGTGGGAATTTTGCATTATGTCCTAAAGTAATTGGTCAATGCATCGCAAAGCGTGTTTAGTCATCATTGTGGCCTCATTAATAATGATCAATTTGCTATTTTTTAGATCTAGTGTTTGCAAACTATGTAAATTCATATGGGATGTAGAGGTTTCAAAGATAAGCACAGGTAATTTAAATCGGCTATGGATGGTTTTTCCCCCCTATAAAAGAATAGAGGGTATTCCGGTTGATGCAAAAGGCAATACAATTTGATTATTTGCTCTTATATAACACATTAAGGTATTGTAAAGATAGGTTTTTCCTGAACCCCCAGGGCCATCCACGAAGAAATATCTTTCTGAAATATTTTCTAATTTAATCGCTTGTATAATTAAGTCAAAAGCATATTTTTGTAATCGGTTTAATTTCGATATACGCTCGATTGAATCGGCAGCTTCAACATGGGCATCATGATGTTGTTTTGGGGGAATTTTTGTAGGCGAATGAAAAACTTTTACAACATAAACCACGATCAAGAAAAACGTTTTCAATGTCCATTAAAGCCATGTTTATTACAATTACTTCTGAATATTGACGCAAATAATCTTCAATCATCGTAAATCTGAATTTATTCTAAAGATAAGCAGGATTTTCAGGCTGAAAAAAAATGCAGATAAAGGCAAAAGTACTACGAAGTTGTGACGGCAGATATACTGATCCCGCTTCTAAGCATGATTCTCATTCTTTATCATCTGATAACAAATTTATTTTAATAGCTGCTTCTTTAAAGGTATACTCATTAAAATTTCATTAATAGTTTTTAAATTATCAAAACTCGTAGCCCCGCAAACATGAAGTAGTTATAATCGAAGGAAAAAGGATCAAGATTTGGACTTAATATATTTATATTTATGAGATCACTACCATCAAATCGAAACTTTGATATCCAGTTTAAATGGGGGTTCACCATCATCATTAGTAAAAATCATAGCAACTTCATCTTCACACAGATTAAAGTATATATGGAGCTAGGTAAGTTGTTGTTCATTAAAAATGATTGCATTTTTAAGGGAGAGCAGATTGTTATTCCCCAATCGCTAAGAAAAGATATTCTAAATGTTCTTCATGAGGGACATATAGGTTTGTCTAGGATGATTGATATTATGGAAAGATATTTTTGGTGGCCCGGGGTTAAAAGAGACATCAAGGAAATGGTTTTTAGGTGTAATATGTGTTTGGTAAATGCTCCAAAATTACCAAGGGTTAGAAATAATCATTGGGTAGATCCGAGCAAACCCTGGTATCGTATTTTTATTGATTTTTTTGGACCCATTAAGAATTATTATGGATTAGTAATAATTGATGGGTACTCTCGATGGCTTGAGATTATCAAGGTTAAAAATATTACTACTAATACCACGATTATGGTATTAAATAATATTTTTTCTAGATTTGGTTATCCCGTAGAGTTGGTTTCTGATAATGGACCAGCTTTTAGGTCGTATGATTTTAAAAATTTTCTATTAAAAAAGGGTATAACACATATATTTACTCCTGCATACCGTCCGTCTTCAAATGGTATGGCTGAAAGAGCGGTACGCTCAGCTAAGGATATGATTTATAAATTAGGTGGTTGGGATGATAGGTTATTGGAAGAGGTGTTATTGAATTATCGCAATACCACTCATTCGACAACCAAAACTTCACCTGCGTTTAGATTATTCGGCAGGGAACTAAGATGGAAATGGAGTTTTTTGAAGGACAGTGACTGTGATATGCGACCTAAAATTAAAAGAATAAAGTTCAGAGAATTAACATTTGGCAATTCTGTTTTTGTCAAGAATGGCGTGTGGGGATTGTCATTGGGAGAATTAGTAACGTCATTTGGGAAATTCTGATAGATGATAAGTTTCTCTTTGTTCATATTGATCACATTAGAAATTATTAATAGGAATATATTGCATTATATTTTTACTTTTATATTGTTGGTTACAAATATTAAAGCAACATACATATTCTATCTTTCCTAGTTGTGATAATTTTGATTAATAAGTTACATTGTTAATATTGAAAATAATTTCCCCTTCCCAATTGTAATTGTTTATTATATTCCAAAAAAAAGGAAATAATGACAATAATTTCCCCTTCCCAATCGTAATTGTTTATTATATTCCAAAAAAAAGGAAATAATGACAATAATTTCCCCTTCCCAATTGTAATTGTTTATTATATTTCAAAAAATAAAATAAAATACAATAATTCCCTATTCCCAATTGTAGTTCCTACTATCCCCATATATATATTATTTGTTATATAATTCCTTGTTAATCTTAATGTAAGTATTGGGTATTATTTTAATAATGATATCATTGTAACATTAAATTTTAACCTTATTACGCATTTAACAGTATAAAAATACCTCCCGCATGCCAAGCGAACGTTTATTCCCTATAAATTGTAGTTTCTTTCATTTTTTATTTCAATATAATTAAATAATTTTCTTCATTATATTAATTTTATTCCAAATATATTTATTGTTTATTGGCCACCTATAGTGTGAATTGTACCTATCGATAGTGTAGTAATCTATACCTTTTGTAAGGGTAATTACATAAAAAACTATCATGTCAACTATGGTGCCATTTCCCCTTTATACATATATATTTTTTTATTCTTAAAAAATAAATCTAAATTACCTCTCGCATGCCAAAAGAGTTCTTTCCTTCCTTTGTACCATTTCGTATTTTCAAGATTTAAAATTTTATATATATATATTTTTTTTTTGGAGGTGGTGCATGTTGCATGTGCGCTATTATATTATTAAATACTTAAATAATTTATATTTAAAGTTCAGTTAAACTATTATATATTTAAAACACTTAAATAATTTATATTTAAAAGTTCAGTTGTATATCTCAAGGCAACAAAATATATATATAAATTAATATATATTTTCATTTTACTATCACTTGTTTTTCTTTGATATAATAACTTGTTTTTTTGTTTTAAATATTTTTAAAATAAATTATAAAATTATATTGGAATTCCTCAATCACACACTTTATTCTATTCTATTCGTATTCGTATATTATCCATTATTTTTTATAATCTTACATTTCACACATGGAGTTTAGAAAAATGGCACTATAAATTTATTTATAAACATAAAAGTTTTGAACATTTTTTCAATATTAAAAACTATTAACTAAGATAAAAACAAAGTTTTATAAAATTTTCATAATTGTTTCCTCGTGGACTAAATTATAATAACAGTGATAATTTCTTACTAAACCCAAAAGTTTTAGAACATTTTTGGTATTAAAATTTTAACTAGGCTTAAGACAAAATTTTAAATTTTTTTTATAATTTTGTTCCTCGTGGTAAAATATTGTGGAAGTGCCAATTTATTACTATATTCAAAAGTTTTAGAACATCTCTCTAGTATAAATAAGTTTAAACTACGCTTAAAATAAATTTTTAAAAAATTTTAGCATTTATTTTTTCCTCGTGGAGTAAAATATAATTGTAGTGCCCATTCATTACTAGACCCAAAGGTTCTTGAATATCTTTCTAATACATAATATTTAAAGGTTTAAAACAACATCTTAAAAAAATGCATATTTTTTCCCTCGTAGTAAAATATAGTGGAAGTGCCAATTTATTACTAGACCCAAAAGTTTTAGAACATTTCTTTAGTATGAAAAACTTTAAACTACCCTTAAAATAAATTTTTAAAAAATTTTAACATATTTTTTCCTCTTGGAGTAAAATATAATGGCAGTGCCAATTTATTACTAGACTCAGAGGTATTAGAACATCTTTTTAGTATCTAAAACGCTTAACTTAACTTAAAACAACGTTTTAAAAAATTTCCCACTTTCCTCGAGGAACACAATAAAATGGCATCCCAATTTATTATTAGACTTGATATTTTAGAACACGTTTTTACCATAAATAAAAAACTTTTAACATGGCTTAAAACAATATTTTAAAAAAAATCATAAATCTTTTTCCTCGTGGAGTAAAAATAATGATAGTGCCAATTTATTACTAGACCTTATGGATATCTTTCCTATATCAAAAACTTTTAACGAAGCTTAAACAAAATTTAAAAAAATTTCATAATTATTTTTCCTCGTGGGGTAAAATATAATTATAGTGCCAATTTATTACTAACCCAAAAGTTTAATAACATCTTTTTAATATCAAAAACCATAAACTAGGCTTAAATTTTTTTTTTAATTTTCACATTTATTGTTTCCTCGTGGAGTATAATATAATGGCAGTGTCCATTTATTACTAGTCCCAAAGGTTTTAGAACATCATTCTAGTATCTAAAACTTTTAACTAGGCTTAAGATATGTTTTAAAAAAATTTTACAATTTATTTTTTCCTCGTGGAATAAGATATAATAACAGTGACAATTTATTACTAGAACCAAAGATTTTTGAACATCTTTCTAATATCAAAAACATTGAACCCGGATTAAAACAAACTGGTTTAATTTTCAATATATATTTTTTTGACCCAGTTAGCCAACCCAGCAGGCCAACCCAGTAGGCCGACCCAGCAAGCCGATCAGATGGGTCGGCTCATGAGACCTTATGGGTCGGGTCTGATCTATGGCTAAATCGGTTTGCTCGGGTTTAGGGTCGTTTTTTTCGGCTCAAACCTTGCTGGGTTTTCGGCCAAGCCGACCTGACCAGGCAATTTAACAATACTACCAGGCGCGTAACCAATCATCGCAAATTTGACTGTTTTCATAAATATCATTTTAAGCTAATAAAAATTTTACTCCCCCCTTCCACCCCCTCCCCCCCAAATCAAAATTTTACAAATATTTGAATATCGATTTTCCAACATAAAACTTTTT